GGAGCTCTTTCGGTTGGCTTCTGTGTCCCTCTGACATACTCTGATTCTAAGGGGTTTTTTTGTCATGTCTTGTTTTGGTTTTGAGCATTTCTTTACTTTCTAGCACTATAAGATGCTATAGCCTCATCTTGTGTATTTCCTGCCCCAGTCCTAGAATCAGCCATTTGTCCAAGGAGCCATGGCTTCTTTTATTGGAGAATAGTGTTAGACACCGAGAGATGTGTGCTAAGTGTGTTCAATACTACTGGAGTACCATTGTGTCTAGTCTTTGTCAGCTGACAGAGCAGCGGACATATGTATATACTGACTCCTATATATACATGTATCTATAAATGTCTCTATATGTGAGTATCTATATCTATATTAAGCTAAACATGAGTTCATACTGATGGCCCAAACTCTAATCCATTACCACATGGATCATTCTAGTCTTCTTCCCTTGCTTGTCTGTAACCTCCCACTCCAATACTGTAAAACGTGGCTCCTGCCGTCTGCCATCTATTTGCTTAATTGTTCAAATCCACTGTATGTCTACAGTGGTATCAGAATTGTTAACCAGTACTCCTGTGGGAAATAACTTTATCAAAGAAAGTACAGTGCTTATGTATAGTTTCTTTTCCCTTAATCTTTCAGATTCCACTCATTTTCACAGTTGCAGAGGTCAGCACTTTTCTCTCCACCCTTTTCTGTGAGGTTGTGAATAGTATTTGTCATACAGAGTTTTGGTCACTTTTTGTATTTGATATGGGATCCCCTGATCTCCTAAATTTTTTTTTTCTAATTTGCACACATTAAGGTTCATTCCTTGTGCTGTAGGTTTTGACAAATGCACAATGTCACGTATCCACCACTACAATATCGTCCAGAATAGTTTCATTGCTCTGAAAAAATCTCCTGGGCTTCACCTATTCACCTCTCCCCCAGCCTTGAGTCCCTGGCAGCCACTGATCTTTTTACAGTCTCTATAGTTTTGCTTTGCAGAATGTTATATAACTGGAATTATATAGCATGTAGCCTTTTCAAATTGGCTTCTTATTACTTAGTAATATGCATTCAGAATTCATGCTTTTTTGTGGGTTGATAGCTCATTTCTTTTTATCGTGTAATATTCCATTCTTTGGATGTACCATAGTTTGTTTTTCCATTCACCTGTTGAAGGGCATCTTGGTTGTTCTCAACTTTTGGCTATTATGCATAGATCTGCTATAGACATTCATATGCAGGGTTTTGTGCGGATATAAACTTTCAAATCAGCTGGGAAAATACCTAGGAGTACAATTGCTGGATCATGTGGTAAGATTATGGTTAGCTTTGATAGAAGTTTCTAAATTGCCTTCCAAAGTGGCAGTACCATTTTGTATTCTCAGCAGCAATGAATGAGACTTCCTTTTGCTCCACATCCTCACCAGCAATTGGTATGGCCAGTATTTTTGGATTTTAGCCATTTTAATAAGTTTGTAATAGTATCTTTTTTTAATTTTCAATTTCCTAATGACAAATGATGTTAAGAATCTTTTCGTATGTGTATTTGCCATCTGTATATTTTCATTGGCAGACTTTCAGATCTTCATTGGCAAACTGTTTGTCCACATTTTTTGTTTTTACTTTAATACATCAATGGTTTATTTCTTACTCTTGTTAAATATCCTTGAGGTATGGCTGAGGGCTTTATTTCACGTCCTAACTGTTCTTACTTCTCAAATTAGGCTGATGTGGCAGCCACTCTCTAGAACCTTGTCAGTTGCTGTGTCAGAAGGAAAAGAACATGTTGAAGTTCTGCTGGCTCTGGCGGCTTTTGCCTACCAACGGCACATGCCATTTATACTTACATTGCAATGATCAAACCAAGTCAAATGGTCATATCTGATTTATTGGTGTGAGGAGATACAATTCTACCATGGGTCTGAAAGAACAAAACTTTGCGAACAGTACTAGTGAATACTAAATATAGAATATAGGTATGGATTTAGAGGTTAGAGGTAGATGTAAATGTTTTCGTATTTTTTCATTGTGGTGAAATATACATGACATCTTTTGCTCATTTTTAAATTGGACTTTCCTTTTTCTCCTTGATGAGTCTTAAAACTTCTTTGTGTATTTTATATACAAGACGTTTATCAGCTATGTATCTGCAAATATTGCCTACCAGTCTATGGCTTATCTTTCTATTTTCTTAACAGTATCCTTCATAGGACAGAAGTTTTTAATTTTAATGAAGTCCAACTTATCAATTTTTTAAAATAGATTGTGCTTTTAGTGTCATATATAAAAACTTATTACCAAAAAAAAAAAAAAAAAAAACTTATCACCAAACACAAGTTCTCCTGTATTTTCTTCTAGAAGTTTTATAGTTTTGCATTTGGTTGGGGGACGTACTACTAGCAACTAGAGAATAAAGGCCAGAGATGCTGCTAAACCTTTTACCATGTGCATAGCCCTCAAAGTATTATCAGACCCAAAAAGTCAGCAGTGTTGATGTTGAGAAATTCTGGGTTAGAGAATAGAAGAGGTAAAAATTAAAAAAGGGAAAGGAACTAAATGCAAAAGGAGGGAAGGAATAAAGATGAGCTTTAGCAGGGGTCGACAAACTTTTTCTGTAAAGAGCCAGATGGTAATATTTTAGGCTTTGTGGGCCATAAGATCTCTATGCAATAACTCAGCACTGCTGTTGTAGCAGGAAAGCAACCATAATCAATACCTAAATGAATACATGTGGCTGTGTTCCAATAAAACTTATTTAAGGACACTGACATTTGAATTTCATATGATTTTTACATTATACACTATTACTCTCCTTTTGATTTTTTTTCAGCCATTTAAAAATGTAAAACTATTTTTAGCTTTCAGGTCTTATAAAAACAGGCAGGCAGAAGTTTGCTGACCCCTGAGATAGAGGAAGGAGGAGGAGAAAGATGAGAAATAAATGACTATGGTAAAGTAGCATATTACTTTGGTGTTTATATAAGGCAGGTTAGGCTAGATTATGCCACAGCAACAGACGACCTCAAAATCTCAGTGATTTATAATAACAAATGGGTATTTCTCATTTAAAATACATGTGTACTGTGCTGGCTAAATTCTGCTCCATGTTGTTTTCATCCTGGAATTCAGGCTAAGAGTACAGCCTCTATCTGGAACGTTACTGGATCTAGTAGCAGAATAAAAATGGAGAACATGGCAAACCAAGTGTTGACTCTTGACTTTTCTGCCTGAAATTGACATGCATCACTTTCACTCATACTTCAGTGGCCAAAATAAGTCACATACTCATGCTAGATTTCAGTGGGGCAGGACAGTAAAATCCTCTCCCAGAGAGGGTCAGTGGCTATTTGTGAACAATAATGTAGTCTAACACATTACCCAAACTTGGTGGCCTTCAGTTTCTTACATTTGGTTATTCCTGAACTTAAATTTATTATATTCTTCAAACTAGTGCCTTAAGTGGGGACTGGGAGACATAATAGTAACAATAATAGCAGCTAACGTTTATTGAGTGATTATTATTTCTTCTACAGGCATCCTTTACGTGCATTTTTTTTTTTATTTGAAATAGGGTCTCACTCTGTCACCTCGGGTAGAGTGCAGTGGCATCATCACAGCTCACGGCAACCTCAAACCCTTGGGCTCAAGCGATCCTCCTGCCTCAGCCTCCCGAGTAGCTGGGACTACAGGCATGCACCACCATGCCCGGCTAATTTTTTCTGTATATATTTTTAGTTGTCCAGCTAATTTGTTTCTATTTTTAGTAGAGGCGGGGGTCTCGCTCTTGCTCAGACTGGTCTCGAACTCCTGAGCTCAAACGATCCTCCCGCCTTGGCCTCCCAGAGTACTAGGATTACAGGCGTGAGCCACCGCGCCCGGCCTAAACAGAATGTCTTAGAGACAAGTTGGAATCTTTTATTTACCATCCCCCTCAAATGTATACTTTTCCTTTAGAAATGTATTTATTTCGTAAAAGAGAAGGAGAAACCAACTTACTCCTTTGTGTCCACTTGAAACAATACATAGACTTCAAGTGCTAGTTCTGATTTGGGTCAGAATTTGAAGTTAGGATGTTAATCTCTGTGAGGATAGTGGGGTTTTTCCGGATGATTTGTTATGTTAATATGTTTTTGTTTCTGAAATGATTTAAAATAATATTTTACACATTTTTGTCTGGAAATTTTTTCTAGCTTTTTCTCCCCAAACTACATTTGAATTTACTGGCTTAGCTGTATGGGTTGAGAAGTGACAATTAAGAAACAACAATAGGAAAGTATATAAAGTTTCAGAGTACATGATTAGGCACATTATTGCATAAATAAAGTCTAAGCTAAGGTTTTGATTGTTACCATATGCTTCCATTCTCATCAAGCCAATCCTAGATGACTTTATATTTCTGAAAGTTCCAAGTAAATTTAGATTTTCCAGAGATAGCAGGTTGAAACATAGTAATTTGCCATCTTTTCTGCCTGTTGGAATTACATTGTGGATCTGTTAGGCATCGAGTGCCATGTTCAACATATTCTTGCCATCAGCTTCTATGAAATTGAAGTCGTTAATCAAGTGATGCATATAAATTTGATCAGTGCTTTTCTGTGTGGATTAGGATCTAAGGGGTTTATACATAAAATTTATCTATAAGAAGACACATCCTCAGATACGCAGAATCATGCTGGGGATGTCCTTGGTTTCCCCATTTTCACACTGAGATTGCTAGGTGAACTCAATGCTAAATTCTAATTCCATTTAGTTTTATGGAATAATCTGCCGCCTTTCTCTCCTGAACTGTTTCCAATTATTTAGCTTTTTTCTTCTGAAATCTATGGAGCAGAGTTAAGCACTATGTTCCCTCTAATTTCATAGCATATTTGAAGGAGCTTTGCAAGGAATGGAGCAAGATGAGAGAGCACCAAGCATGAAAAGGCCAGATTCTTGAATCGTCACTGTGATGTGCTAAATTATTTGGGGAACACTGCAATCATTTTTATCCCAGAGTAAAGTGACACTGGAAAACAATATTTTTTTCAAGATAATCATTTATATTTATTTTTAAAAGGAGTGGAGAGTTCTCTTGTTGATTTTACAAGAGCAAAAGGCAACAGCCGTTTCTTTGGCTAATTCATGCAATCCTCGAGTAAAACTTAAGCCCAGGTTACTTTGGTAGGATTTGAAGTCGTAAGACATATGTGAATAAAATGATATTAGGTCTATGTAATTCTGAATAATAAAATAAAGATTAAAATGGTAATATTGGTCCCTCAAGTACTGGTATTTAAAGTTTAAAAATCAATCAAGAGAGAAGATTAAGTGGTGTTTCTTTGGTACTAAAAATGTGAAGCTAAGACAAAATTGTTCTATTTTCACAGATTTAAGATACAAAGAGTGATATTTAAAGACATTAAAATGACTATTGAATTCTCTTCAGTTTGTAAAGAATCTCCTACGAAGCACACTTAGAAGAAATCCCTGAGTATATAAATACTCTATTAGTATGTTCCTTCATAAACAAAGAGGAAGCGTTTAAAAGTTTTTCAAGGCATATCAACACAGTATTTAGCAAAAGCACTGTCTGTTTATAGGGCTTCCTCCATAGTGCTTGCAGATTAGGTCACCAAATGCTTAATAGGAGAAACAACAGATTGACAAAATTAAACTATAACGTTTGAACAGATGAGCCATTCTTAGGTAAATCAAAAAACCATTCTCTTATGGCGTCTGTATTTTGTTTTAGCCACTCAATGTTGTTTTTCACAGTTTCCAACACTTGCTCCCTGGGTGTTTGTCCTGCTCCAGCTTCTGGATATTTTGCAAAAAAGCTCTCCATCTACAAAAGAGAGGGCAATAATTAGGAAAGTAATTTTAAGCCAAATTGTTCTCCAAGAATTTCATTTACAACCTGGATTTCTTTCCTTCTTACCTAGAAAGTCAGTATCAGTGCACAACATGGAGTTAACACCTCTTCGTGCATCGTTTGGACTGTCCCTATCTCTTAGAAGAAATTGCTACCCATGGCATTTGGATCCCCACAACCTGCCAAACCAAAATATGCTCTGGTATGTTGGGAAAGGAGGGGGGCGTGTCAGTGGCTGGCATGTCCATTTCAGTTTCTCTGGGTTCTCTATTTTCTGTAGACTCCCCAAGGCATTCCCTAGAAAATGTGGCCTATGGAATGATGGTTTTGCTTGGTGAATGCTCTCCAGGCATCTGGAGTATTTTAATATACTTTTAGTTCACTTATTAAGTACTCATTAAAAAAAAATCTCTGTTAAACTTGGTTCTATCCTCCCTCTGACCTCCAAAACCCTTCACGAAACTCAACCATACTATTATTTGCTATGCAAAAATAAGAATTATTTGGTTTCTTAACATACAGAAGACTCTTAGCATTCCAATATCTAACACACAGATAGTAAAACTTCATGCTATCTCTATTTGTTCAAAATTAATGGACATTTCCTCCCCAGGAATTGAGATATTTGCAACCTGAAAGATTTGTGATTAGTTTTGAAACTCCAAAACTATGAATGTGAATGGAATCAAATTTTGACCAACTTATTCCAGACTTACATTCACCAGGAAAGGAGGGGCCACGCCTTGGTGAACTCAACGGTTTCATGTGGCTGGCTTAACCTTCCAAGCCCTCGCCTCAATCAGCTTTTAAACTTTGTTTCTTGGTCATTTGAATTTTTTTTTTTCAGTTTAGAAAACAAAGTAAGTGTACATTTTATAGACATAAGAATTAGCTCTTACTTCACTATGTATACTTAACAAGATAAATATATCAAAACATTATGTTTTACACCTTAGATATATACAATTAAAAAACAGACAAATCCAGGAAGAAGAATTATTTCTTTCTTTCTCATTGTTTTCTGTGATTTGGATTGAGATAATGCTACATCTCTTTGGAAAAAAAGTTTAACTCTGTTCCATTTTAGACAAATATAGAGAAATTTATCTTCATACCTGCCAGAGTTGTAGTTCAGTGTTGAATGGTTCTGCTATTGTGACAATTCGGCCTAGGTTTCTGTCATTGATTGTGAATCTGAAGAGAAATTTAGAGGAGGAAAAGGAAATATAAGTGATCAGAACTTTAAATCTTTTCTCTAAATGTGGATACTGCCTTTTTATTTTGTGGGGTTCTTTTTTAAAGTAATTTTCAAAGTAAGCAAAATGGTAAGAAACTCATTTAATTTAAAATCATTCTATTCAGGAGAAATTCTCAGTAAATTCTGCACTTCTTTTTGGAGACAAATTTGCACCACTTTCTTCGATGCAGCAGACTGCTTGCTGTATTCTCCAAATCTGTTCTTTTTTCCTGCACACATGAGCACCCAGCTAC